CAAGCCATGGTGTTAACAATCACCTCATATGCATGTGAAAGCTGGACGATGAAAGAGGAAGACTGAAGAACTGACGCCTTTGAATTGTGGCATTGGCGAAGAATATTGAACATACCATGGACTGCCAAAAGGAGAAACAAATTGGTCTTGGAAGAAGTACAACCAGAATGCTCCTTAGAAGCAACGATGGCAAGGCTCTGTCTCATATACTTTAGACATGTTATCAGCAGGGATCAGTCCCTGTAGAAAGACATCATGCTTGATAAAGTAGAGGGTCAGTGAAAAAGGAAGACCTTCAATGAGATGGATTGACCCAGTGGTTGCAACAAAAGGCTCAAGCATAACAATGATTGTGAGGATGGCACAGGACCAGGCAGTGTTTTGTTCTGCTGTACACGGGTTGCTATGAGTCGGAACTGATGTGACAACACCTAACAACAACAACATACTTTTAAATAAATCTTAAAAAAGAAACCAAGAAAAACTTGAAAAATCAATGTGCTAAAACCTTTGTAAGAATGGTTTTTGGCATTGAAAAATTTTTTTGTTAATAAAAATAAATTTAAAACTGAGGCAGTCTTGCCTTTAGCTTATGTGTTTCCTGAAAGATACAACTTTTAAAGCAATGCTGTTATCTGTCAACATTTCCTAGAGATCGTATCTGAAAAGCTGAATTGAGGATGAGAAGATTCTAATCCCTAAATCTAACACTAACTCACTCTGTGACCTCTGATCTCTCTGTCAATTTTTTCACCAGCAAAGTGGGGATAAGACTTGCCTGCTGGCGTCATAGGGCTATTGGGAGAGCTAAATAATACAATGTACTCATTTATTTATTCATCCTTCATTGAGGTCTGATGTTGGATTATAGACATGTGAGGAGTGGTCTTTTCCCCTCTGGAGTTGTCAAAGTAATACAGTGAAGATGATGCTGAAAATGCAAATCTTACAAAAATATAAGGTTATGTGATTATGGTGGTGGTAGTTACCATGAAGATTATTCTGAAAGTTATAAAATTTATCCAAGTGAAAAACTGGAGCAAAGCAGTACTGAAAATTCCTTGAAGAAGCTCTTTGAAAGGTTTCTCTCTTTCTTTTCTAACCTTACCAAAGGTACTCTATAGATTTTTTTTTTTAATGGGTGTTTTCTTTGTTAACTGCATTTAGCTGATAATAGTTTAATATAAAGAGACCATGTATTTCATAATGAATTCCAACTGGTACTAGAAACTTATAACTGGTTATAGGATCATAGCTATAATTTGGGATCTCACTAATGTGACAGTTTTCCAAACTTTTTGAGCTCAGAAGACCCATCCTTACCCTCAGGTATCCAGCTAACTTCTGTGAGAACTGGATGCTGCTTCATTATAACAAAGGACATTATGGCCCTGCTAGTAGGTTTCACTGAAACATGGACAGCTGTCATTCACAAATTGCTGAAACAACATATTCTTAACTGAAAGGACCTAGAGATGAAGCTGAATCAATTGACAGCCTGTCTTCTTAGTGAACTAGAAAATAAAAATAGGCATTTTGAGTCCACTAAGAGAAGCAGGGAGGAGTGGTTCCTCTCTCCCTTTCCCGGGCTAATGAATGGGTTAGATTCAGCAGCTTCTGAAGCCAGAAGGGCTGAAGTAGATGGAGTAACATGTTTGCACTTCAGTTCCAGAATAAAAAGAATTCATCCGTGGTTTATCTCCCCTCTCCCTGTATAGGGAGTTCCTGAGTGGTACAAATGGTTAACTCTCTTGGCTGTTAACTGAAAGGTTGGCAGTTTGAGTCTGCCCAGAGGCATATTAGAAGAAAGTCATGGCGATCTCCTTCCGAAAAATCAGCCACTGAAAACCTTATGGAGCACAGTTCTACTCTGACACACACGGAATCACCATGAATCAGAGTCAACTTGATGGCAACTAGTAATCCCTGGCTAGAATGCAATCAGGTATACCAGTAGGTCATTAGAACTTAGCTGTGTCCTTGCACAGGATTAGTCGTGGTTCAGAACATGGGTACTAATAAATCACCATCCCTTCAGTGCCTCCATGGGGACATGAGAGTAGTTCTATTGTCTCACCCTTCTCTGTAGAGCTGGGTGGTTTTCTACTAGTCCTTGTGTCAGTGATGACTTCCCTGATGGTACAAACACTGGTTGTTCCGTGTCGGTGAGTTGATTATGACTCATAGTGACCCTATAGGACAGGGTAGAATTGCCCCATAGGATTTCCAAGGCTGTAAATCTTTACGGAAGCAGACTACCATATCTTTCGTCCACGGAGCTGCTGTGGGTTCCAACTGCCAACCTTTCAGTTAGCAACTGAGCACTTAACCACTGTGCCACCAGGACTCCTACACTGGTAGGAGCTATTAAAGTAAATACATAGAGCCTATGAAGAGTATCTGGACAACCTGGTTATTGGAAAGAGCCACCAGATATTGCCAGGGAAGACCTGGGTTTTGAGTCTCGGTTCTGCCACTTAGTTATGAGCTAGGCCATAGGTCCCAGATCTGGTGAAATAGGGGCCTTTTTGATGCTAATAACTATCATAGTACGTTACTACACTTCTCATTCACTGTCAAGCCTATAGAGAATCCTATGGCATAAGGCCATTAGCACATTCTCATTCTCACTCAATAGATAAGGAAGTAAAGTCAGGTTGAAGGGCGGAGAGCCTCTGGATGGAGTCAGGTAGAACTGGTTTGAAAACCTTCACCTCTATCACTCACTAGCTGTGTGACCTTGGGTAAGTACTTATCCTCCCTGAACCTCTGCTTCCTCATCTGTAAAATAGGGATAATTATAAAGCAGGAGAAAACATTTGTTGAGCATTTATTAAATGCCAAGACTGTCCCAAGTACATGAGATGGATTTACTTAGATAAATTTCACAGTTACACTATGTGGTAAGTAAAATTACTATTCACATTTTACAGAAGAGGAAACTAAGTGGTTACATTTATGCAACTGGGAGGTGTGGAACCACAATTTGAATTTAGGGGTAATAATACCACCTCACAGCATTATCGTGAGGTTTATATAATCTATCGTGATAACATATGTGGAAGTAAATCTATAATAAGAGTAGCACAAAGGATGGGAGGGGATATAGACAGACATATACTATAATAAGGTTCTTACATTATACATGAAGTGGTAGACTCTGGTAAATTAAGGATGTGTATTGCAATCCCTGGAGAGTTCACTAAAAAAAAGTACAGAAGTATATCATATCATATTATATATTGGATTATATTATAAAAAGCTTACAGAGGAGATAAAGTGGAATAATAAAAACACTAATTTAATCCAAGAGAAGTCAGGAAAGGAAGAACAAAGGAACAAAAAATAAATGAGACAAATAGCAAATTGCAAGATGGTAGACTTAAATCCAATCATATCAGTAATTACTAAATTGGACTAAACACTAAAAAGGCAGATATTTTCAAATTGGTTAAAAAAGCAATATCCAATTACATGCTACTTAACAAGACATACTTTAAATATAAAGACAGATGAATTAGGTTGAAAGTAAAAATATATGTCATGCAAACCCTAAGGATAAGAAAGTTGGTGTATTTACTATCAAAGTAGACTCCAACACACAGAGGATTACAAGAAAGAAAGACAAATTTTATAGTGATAAAGGGCTTAATTCATAAAGAACACATAACAATTCTAAATGAGTATGTATCTAATAACAGAGCTTCAATATACATGATGCAAAAATTGACAGAACTAAATGGAAAAACAGACAAATCCACAATTATAGTTGGAGAATTTAATATCCCTTTTCTAGCAATTGATAGAACAAGCACGCACACACAAAAAAAACAAAAACAAAAAAACAGTAAGGATATGGAAAATCCTAGACCTAACTGATGTTTATAAGACACTACATACAATAACTGCAAATTATACATTCTTTCAAGTGCAAATGGAACATTCATCAAGATAGACCTTATGATGGGCACAAAACAAGTCTCAATGACCTTCAAAGAATAATCTATTGCAAGTAAAATGAGGGTGAGGGTTAACTATTTATCTCATCGTTTATGATTCTGAGTTCTACTCTGACATAGGAAATTTTCTAGCCCCTTCTCCGCAGTTTGCTAAAAATTCTTTTGTTAATTAGCTTTCCAGAGATCCAACCAATATTAATATCAAATTCTTCAATCCTTCAAACAATTGTGTTGTTTAAATAGAAATTGCAAGGAATGGTAAGACTTGAACTTGGTCTCCCTTTTCCTGGGTTCTGCAGTTCCCTATTCTCAGAAAATGCAATCTCTCACCTGAAGCTTGGCACAATATGATTTAGAGACTGGCACACTGTTGCTTAAGATTTTCTAAAATAATCTTAGTTGCCACTGAGGACAATGAACTTCTGTAAAAGGGAAGCTGTCAATCAGGGATCCTTTCTGCCTTTAGCCCTTAGCCTATTACTCAGCATGCTTCTGAAGTTGAGGGAGACAATGGTGTCTCCGCCCCTCCAGAAAAAGATGCTGTGTGCGCGTGTGTGCGTGTGCGCGTGTGCGCGTGTGCTAAAATGTAGCCGGGGCTCTAAAACCCAGGTTCATGGGCCTCAGGAGGAGGATTTGCCTGAAAATGTGTGTTAATGGCTTTTTCCAGGGGAGAGAACTCCTGGCTTTCATCAGATTATCAAGGAAGAAGCCATGACCTCTAAAAATGCTAAAAGAGCTATTGCCTCTTCTTTTCAAGTTACCTAAAGCATCTTCACACCTTAGCCCTACAAAGGACCCCAAGGTTGTTTTCTCTGTTCTCATCTCTGATAGACGGTTGTATCAAAATGTATTCAATATACTCGCTGGTTTCACTAACAAAGCTAATAAAAGCACTAACAAAAGCAGCAACTCCCGCTTCCACTCAGTACTTTTCTTCAGGATCCATTTATTAACATCCTGTAGAATAAAACTCTAGAGACAATGCTGGCTTAGAAAGTCACTTGTGTTTTTTTCTTTTTTGTTCATTTTTCAAATGCTTAGCCTGCACTACGTGACAAGCACTTATTGGGTGCTATAGGTCCTGCCTTGGAGACTGAGAAACTTGCCCTAAAGGAACCTATAGTGCAGATAGAGGAGCCCAGCACGGTGGTGGAGAGCATGGAAGTCAGATGGACCCAGGCCTGGATCCCACCCAGCCCACCTCTCACTAGCAGCTGGACCTTAGAAAAATCACTGCACGTGTTTGAACGTCAGTTTTAGATTCTGTATCTGTGAAATGGTGCTATGCAAGTAACCACTCCCATCTGTGCGTTTTGATTCTTTCAGGTTTGATGCTTGGGTTGTATGTCCAGTCTTGCCTCTCTGTCACCCAGGCTCTTTTTGCCCCAGACCCACTGGCTTTCCTTCTGTGCTTTGAATAAAGCAAACTCATTTCCAGCCCAGTTTCTATACACGAGCTATTACCTCTGCCAGAGATCTGGATCGTTTTTTTCTTTTAATTATGATAAAATATATATAACATAAAATTTGTCATTCTAACCATTTTAGGTGTCGGATTCAGTGGCATTAATTACATTCACAATATTGTACAACCTCATCACCATCTATTTCCCAATCTTTTTTCATAGCCTTCTCCTGCTTTTCTCTGCTTTTCTTTTGCTCACTCCTTCTTACCCTTTGGTTTCAGCTTATAGGTTGGGTTCCCTCTTCAGAGATTTTTCCTGGCCATTCACCATCATCACATGCACTCTATTAACTTTTTCTCTTTTACTTTCTCAATACTTACCACTATCTAGGGGAGCCCCGGTGGGTGCAGCAGTTAAGAGATCGGCTGCCTAACCAAAAGGTTGGCAGTTCGAATCCACCAGCCACTCCTTGGAAACCCTATGGGTCAGTTCTATTTTGTCCTATAGGGTTGCTATGAGTCGGAATCCAAGCGATGTCAACTGTTTTTTTTTTTTCCGAGTTACCACTATCTGATAATTCTCTACTTTGCTTATCTGTTTGTTTGTAATATCTTCTCATTAGAACTTGTTCAGTGCTGTAGCTCCTGGGTGTAGAACGCTACTCAGCAGAGTGAAATGCCCAGTGATATACACTTGTTGAATGATTGAAACAATGATGGGTGTGATCGGTGTAGACAAAGGGCTGGTGCAGATTAAAAGCAAATCACCATTAGTGATTGCGGTTTTATACTTGTTATTATAACATCTACATTTCAGAAGTGGGCGGTGCATTTACATTTGCATAACAAATTAGGTCAAAAAAGTAGTTGGTTTAGAACAATAGTCCCATATCAAAATAAGCTCACCTTCCAAGAATGCAAAACAGAAAAATCACACGCAGTTTTTAAACAGCGCCCCCACCTCACTCTCCCCACCCACAAGATTTACAAAAAATTCTTAGGCGGTTTTCCCCCTGGCCAAATGTGACAACTGTTAAAATGGCAGGTTACAAACTAGGTAAAGGAGATGCAGATGTGTGTCTCAGAGGAGGGGAAGATTACTTCTACCTGGCACATGTGGATGCTAGGTGGGACTCTGATGGACAGGTAAGATGGAAGGGGTGAATGGGTAGGTGGGTGTACTGGGAAGGAGGCATTATAAATGGAGGGCCCAGTGCCAAGGCTGGCACAAGTCAGGAAAGGGCAGTGCCAGGAGGAAGCTTGGTGGGAAGCTTGAGGCCTCTCCCCCAAATTTCCATCAGAGCCACCAAAAGCCATCCCATGTAAGGCTGAGGGTTCTCAAACTCAATTAGAGAACTGGGTTTGCTCTGTACATGCAGTAGCTTCAAGGTATGTTCAACCAGATCACCACCCATAAGCCTCTGCTAACCATTCTGGGTTCCTGAGTGGTTCAAAGGGTTTGTGCTCCACTACCAACCAATAGGTTGGAGGTTCAAACACATTCGGCAGCACCACAGAAGAAAGACCTGGCAATCTGTTTCTGTAAAGATTACAGGCAAGAAAGCCCTATGGAGCAGTTCTACTCTGTAACACGTGGGGTTGCCATGCGTGAGTCGGAGTCCACTCCATGGCAAAGAGTTCTTTTTTTTAAACCATTTTAGAGCCTCTTCTGGATCCAGTATAGAGGGAAGACAGTAGCATGGACCCACTCGCCTTCTCTGACATGAGTGGTGGAAATAAGGTCGAGGCTGGACATGAACGAAGAACCTCGAATGCCGGGGCAAGGGCTCTAAGCCTCTGAGATCACTAAGTAAGGGATCAGTGAACTACCCTGAGTAAATTGCTTTAGGAGGAAAGAACAGATTTGGGAGGCCAGAATGAAGGCTGTTAATAGTCCAGGTAAGAAAGGCAATATAGGGTCCAGAATTGGAGGAGACGCACTAGAAATAAAGGATGGGTGAGAGTTGTGTAAACCAAACCAATCCTGTTGCCATCAAGTAGATTATGACTCATGGTGACCTCACGTATTACAGAGTAGAACTGCTCCATAGGATTTTCTTGGCTGGGTGGCGCAAACGGTTTGCACTCACTGCTAACCTAAAAGTTGAAACTCACCCAGCAGCACCGCAGAAGAAAGGCCTGCTGATCTGCTTCCATAAAGATTACAGCCAAGAAAACCCTATGGAGCAGTTCTACGCTGTAACACATGGGGATTCCATGAGTTGGAATTGACTTGACAGCAACTGGTTTGTTTAATTTTTATAGACGCAGATTTCCAGGCCTTTCTTCTGTGGCACTGCTGGGTGTGTTCAAACTGCCAACCTTTCAGTTAGTAGCCGAGAGCAAACCGACTGCACCCCAAGGCCCTGAGAATTGTATGTTGTTGTTGGGTGCTACCTGACAGCGTAGAACAACCTCATAGGATTTGCTAGGCTGTAGTCTTTACGGGAGCAGATCGCCAGATCTTTCCGCTCACGGAGCATGCTTATAGGTTCGAACCACCGACCTTGTCAGTTAGCAGCCAAGCACTTAACCATTGTGCCACCAGGTCTCCTTAAGAGTTGTATAGGTCAGAGGTTTCCATTGGGGGTATGCAGGCTTGATGAGCTGCAACCTATACTGGGCCGAGGTTTCACAGGGCTTGTTACACTGCTTTTGACCCATAGAACACAAAAGATTATGTGCCCTTTCAAAATAATAGCTCTTCGTATTTGCTGGCTGTATCATGAAATAGAAATTAAGAAGGCACTGTATCTTTTAAAAAAAATCCCCTCGTAGCACTTCCTTAAAAACAGCTACTTAATGCCATTCTGCCAGTGAGTTCTTAAACAATTCTGTCTTTAACACGTCTGATATTAATGAAGCATCTTCCTAAACGGTTGAAGTGTTCTTCCTGGTAAGTTTTTCAAAATACATTGTAATAACTGTTAGTTTTCTCCTTTGGCTTAGTGTTTCTTATTGATTGCTTGTTGTGTTACAGGAAATTTTAAATTATTGAAGTCATTGATAATGTTTTCAAGCTTTTCCTTCCCTTTGGGTTTACTATTTTTAAGGGTAGAAGTAGTTGTACTGAGCTGGGGGTATTTTAGTCAAAGCCGGCAGCTTCATTTTAAGTACTTATTTCAAAGTACACATTTGCTTCGATGCTGATGAGTTGAGGCACAATTAACTGAAAAAGATTGACATAGCCTTACGAAAATATTTACTACTGAATAACACTTCTTTAGGGACCATAACCTAACCATTAATTTATGTATTTTCTTCTCATATTCTCTTTTTAATTGAGCAGAGTAGAATTTTGATGTTTGACATTTATTATATTGATATGAATATTTATAATATTGACTTGTTTATATTACATCATTACATTGTGCAGGGTTAAATGCTAAAGAGTAAATTCATTGTGTTTGCAGGATAAATGTGAAGAACTTCTATAAAAGGAGTTGCTGGATATGCTATATGAAATGATAAGCAATATTAGAGCCCCTTAGAGGGCTCCATGACACCTAAAGTTGTTTGAAAAAACACTGAAAAATTATAAATGGAGAGCTATGCTAAAGTACAAGCAGCCTTGATGGCGCAATGGTTAAGTGCTCACCTGCTAACCAAAAGGTCAGCAGTTGGAACCCACCAGCCACTCTGCAGGAGATTTACAGCCTTGGAAACCCTATGGGACAGTTCTACTCTGTCCTATAGGGTCACTGTGACTCAGAATTTGACTCCACAGCAATGGGTTTGGCTTTGGGTTATGCTAAGGTAAAAAGAATTGTCATGCTTCAAGAATTTTGCAATACTTAATGTTTTGATACATACTCTCAGTTACCTCCATATTATCTTATAAGTAAACAGTTTTGGCAATAAGATTTAATGTAAATTAAAACAACTCTATTTAGCTACTTTAACTTTGAATTTTTTGGTAACAGAAGAAAAGCAAAAAGAAATGTTTGTAGGAAATTTTGTAGAAAATTCATACTCATCAAAGAAAATTCACATGGTGTTTTTGGTTTATATAAGATATTTTCAGAAAATATTTTTAAGCAAGACCTTTTAATTCAGTGGCAAATTAAATAAAGATCATACTTAACTCCTTTTTACATATTAAACTTTTTTTTCAGAATCATCAATTTATTAATGAAGCATGGTAAGTTGGCATTTAAAATCTCTTTACTCTCCCTCCAATTTAAAGTTAAACTATCTGGATCATCCTAATAAGGGCATGAAATGCTTTGGGAAACAGTTCAATTTTAGGTCTTAGAGACACGCTTTTGAAATTTAAGAGCATTTCATCTTTAACTAATGATTCACATATTCTGTTCGATTGAAAATATTTCCTTGACCCCTTTTTCCAAGTCCACCTCCCCTGTTCTACAATCCTTTGCTAAAAGTTTTGTAAGGATATTAAATGTTATCATACTATAGAATCAATACTGTTTCCTGAATACTGTATTATACAGAGTGGTTCTCAACTGGCATTGATTTTGCCCTCCAGGGGACATTTGCAGATGTCTGAGACATTTTTGACTGTCATGACTGTGGTGTTACTACTGGCATCTGGTGGGTAGAGGCCAGGGATGCTGCTAAACACCCTACAATGCACAGGACAGTCCCCACAAGAAAGACTAATCTGACCCAATATGTCAATAATGACAAAATTAAGAAATCCTCCTATGGACCAAATACTATTTTGTATTAGGAAAATTAATTGATAATGATAACTCCAGAGTTCTGCCATCGTTCTAACAGACTTGTATTGAACAAGACAAACTGGGTCAAGCATTTGAAGATGCCTTTGAGGTACTGAGGCAACACTCAACAGGCGATCTTCAGTACTCCCCAGGTAAAGATAAGCCGTTCCTCCTCTTACGCTGGTACGTCACATCGCTTGTTGGTCAAATATGCATGTAAGAATAGCCCCCGGAACAGAGAAGCCCATTTTTACCTAAGGCGTCTAGGATTATTTCTAACCAGGCAAAAATCATCCATGGTTACCCAGCCTAATTAAATGTAAAGTCTCAATATAAAAATACAGAGAGTGTGGTGAATGACATTCTACACAGAAATACAAAGACTTACAATTATCTGCTATTATTACTATCTGGTTGGCATTTATTCATCTAACAAAAAAAGCCTGTGGCCGTTGAGTCAATTACGACTCATAGCGACCCTAGAGGACAGAGTAGAACTGCCCCATTGGGTTTCCAAGGAGCGACTGGTGGATTCGAACTGCTGACCTTTTGCCTTGATGACAATTTTTTTTTTAAATTCTTATTGTACTTTAGATGAAGATTTACAGAACAAACTATCTTCTCATTAAACAATTAGTACAGAAATTGTTTTGTGACTTTGGTTACCAATCCCAAGACGTATCAACACTCTCCCCTTCTCGACCTTGGGTTCCCTATTACCAGCTTTCCTGCCCCCTCCTGCCTTCTAGTGCTTGCCCCTGGGCTGGTGTGTCCCTTTAGTCTTGTCTTGTTTTGTTTTATGGGCCTGTCTAATCTTTGGCTGAAGGGTGAACCTCAGGAGTGACTTCATTACTGAGCTAAAAGGGTGTGTGGGGACCATACTCTCGGGGTTTCTCTCGTCTCTGTCAGGCCAGTAAGTCTGGTCTTTTTTGTGTGTGTGAGTTAGAATTTTGTTTTACATTTTTCTCTATCTCTGTCCAGGACCCTCTATTGCGATCCCTGTCAGAGCAGTCGGTGGTGGTAGCCCAGCACCATCTAGTTGCGCTGGACTCAGTGTGGTGGAAGCTGTGATAGTTGTGATCCATTAGTCCTTTGGACTGAACTTTCCCTTGTGTCTTTGGTTTTCTTCATTCTCCCTTGCTCCAGACGGGGTGAGACCAGTGGAGTATCTTAAATGGCAGTTCACAAGCTTTTACGAACTGTTGACCTTTTGGTTAGCAGCCAAGCTCTTAACCACTGTGCCACCAGGGCTCCATTTATCTAATAGACATGTTATTTAGACTTTTCAGAAAAGGCTTTGCAACTGTTCTAATTTATCTTACAAATAGATACATTCTATCTGGTGAACAAGAGACCCTTACCTATTGTCTTATAGACTATAGGGATATAGCTTAGACAAGATGCAAACATTTCGCCTATTGAGTTTAAACAGGGTATTTCAGGAATAGGTCCATGGGTATGGCGCAAGTGGTTTGCGGTTGTCTGCTAACCTAAAGGTTGGCAGTTGGAACTTACCCAGCACAACCTTGGAAGAAAGTCCTGGCGATCTGCTTCCGTAAATATTACAGCCAAGAAAACCCTACGGACCAGTTCTACTCTATAACACATGGGGTTGCCATGAGTCAGAACTGACTGAAAGGCAAAAGGTTTTTTTTTTTTTTTTTTAACTGTGGGGATACTAAGATAAAAGAAATCTTGGGGTCTCAACCTGCAAGAAGCATGTATGCTAGTAAGGGAAATGGAATATGTAAACAAGTATCTGTAATACCAGCATAATGCGATACACACCATGAGAGAACATAGGAGGAGGAGGAGGCAGCAATTATGTAAACAAAAACGATATAAACTAAATGCTATAAACTTTGACTTTCAGTTTCTTTCTCTGTATTTAAATTAGACTACAAAAATTACCTGGCTTTCATCAACCATTGCCCTCATGTCAGAGGAAACTCCAGTTGCTATGGAATGTTGCCTACAGAGGAACCTGTCTATAATTGGAGAACCGTAATCGTGAGTACATTTCCCAGGAGACCACCCCCGAGTAACAAACAGCAAATGTCCCACTGGTGCCAGCCTTCCATGTGGAGTGTGCCAGCTGAAACCTAGCTTAAGGACAGCACTGACCGAAAAGGCTTGCTAACAGCCGTCAGTAGTAATGTAAACTCAATGGTCAAAGTGGATGATTGTCAGTAATGGTGTCAAGAGAAACTGTCCTTCATCATCAGGCTCCATCCAGCCTCAGAGTGGTTTGAATTACTTCCAGAAAGAGGCGGCATGGTTAGGGTTCCCAGGTTACTGCTTCTTCTTAGTCCGTCCAGAAGCAAACGAACAACAACAACAAAAAAACCAGTTGCGAACAAATCAGTTCTGACTCATGGTGACCCCATGTGGGTCAGAGTAGAACTGCTCCGCAGGGTTTTCAGTGGCTTTTGGAAGTGGGTCACCAGAACTTTCTTCTGAAGCACCTCGGGGTGGACTCAAACTGCCAACATTTTGGTTAGCAGCCAAGCGTACTGCCCAGGGACTCCAGTCCATCTAGAAAACTATAAAAAGTTAGGGTTCCCCTAAAAGCCATTGGGCAAAGATCCAAGCCAATCTTGCATTGACTTTACCTTTGATCCCCTCCCAACCTCAGAGGTCGCTACATGCATTGTTGTTGTTAGGGGCGGTCGAGTCAGTCCCAACTCATTCCACTACATGCATTGGACTAGTTCATTTATTGTTTTAGAAGCTTTCTGCAAAGGAAAATGTCCCCACCATCTCTCCATTATTTGTTCTTGAACATTATTTTCTTAATGTATCCAGTTAATAAAGCAGTATTAATGTGGTGGAGTATAAATATAAAATGATTTTTATTTTTCTTCACTCATGCTATGATCATCTTCAACCATGCTATGTCAAATGTCCCTTCCGTCCCTTAATGACATCTTGGGCAGATTCTATAGTTTCCCAGGCATGATTGGTTATTAAATGTCTAGTTTAAAGCTTCAGTCTCAAACTCAACTTCTATCCAGTCTCTTTGCAATCTCTGGCACAGGCTTGACCTGTTCAAGGGACTTAAAGTAGATGCTTCCTCTTTCCCTCCTCTTACACGTCCCTTTTATGGGTCTGGGTCCTCTGGGGTTAAAGAAGGAAGGAAGGATGAGGGGAAAAGGGCACATGTCTCACAACTTAACCCTAGTCCGAACCCTACCCTAGCCTTAAACCTAATACTAGCTCTAGTCATAGCCTTAATTCTACCCTTAACCTAACCTGAACCCTAATCCTAGACCTAACACTGCTTCTAATTCTAACCATAGACTAGCCCTAGCCTTCGCCCTAACCCTAGCTCTATTCCTAGTCCTAACCCAAATGCTAACCCTAACGCTAGTCTTTTCCCTAGCTCTAATTCTGCCCCTAAACCTAAAGCTAGACCTAACCCTAACCCTACCCTAACCCTAACACTTACCCTACTTTAGCCCTAACCCTAACCCCCTCTTTGAAGGAGCTTCTGTTTGAATCAGCTTCCCTGAGTACCTTTGACAGTCTTTAATGGTCTTCTGTGAGACAGGCAGGTCCCTCGGTGGCACAAATGGTTTACTCTTGGCTACTAACCTAAGGGTTGGTGGCTTGAACCCAGCTAGTGGTCCATAGAAGACAGGCCTGGCAATCTGCTTTGGTAAAAATGAAAAAAAAAAAAAAAAAAAACCCAAACCCATTGCCTCAAAGTTGATTCGGAGTTATGGCAACCGCACGTCTTACAGAGTAGAATGGAGTTCTGTAGGGTTTTCTTGGCTATAATCTTTATAAAAGCAGATCACCAGACCTTTCTTCCACAGTACTGGTGGGTGGGTTTGAACTGCCAACCTTTCAGTTAGTAGTTGAGTGCAAACCATTTGTACCACCCAGGGACCCCATAAGGATTACAGACAAGAGAACCCTGTGGAACAGTTCTACTTTGCAAGATGGGGTCACTGCCATGAGTCAGAAGGGCAGAAACTTAAGGCTTTATTTGCAGACTCTGCATTTCCCTACCTCCTAGGCTGTGACCCTGGGAAGAGGGGAGACCTCCAGCCCCTTCTTTGGGCTCTTAATTTGCAGCTCCTTCCCCTGTCCCCTGCTGGGCCTTGCCTCTCACTTCCCACCCCACTCCTGGCCCAGCCAGTACGGGCAGTGCCTAGGGAGCCCAGAGACCCAGCTCTTCCCAGGGACCAGCTGCCCCACCATCCCTGGCTTGAGGGTTGAGGGCAGCAGGTGTCAGCCTTGCTCTCAGCTGCCCCCTTCCCTACTCTCGTCCTCCTTGCTCTTCCTCTTTCCAGGCCAAGCCCTCTGATCTGCCTCCCACCCCCAGCCTGCCTCTTGTTTCTGCTCCCTTCAGTCTCAGACCTCTTACAGAGGCCAGCCCAAACTTCTCTCCAAATCAGGCTAGATACCTTCCGGCCCTCCAAGATGTGCAAGCTGTTCCATGCTCTTCCTTGCTCCTTTGCCAGCGAGGGATTGGGGATCATTACAAGGGGTCCTAATTCAGCACTGCTGGCCCATGATGAGAGAAACCCGGAATTGAATTCCAAACTGCTTGGAGGTGGTTGACACGGTTGGACCATCCCATGAAAATAAAAGTAGTAGGTTTTCTCTGTGAGCTTTGACCACAGAAATCTGGGTCAGAGCCTTCCTTCCTTCCCCACGTGTTCAGAAGGGAACTGAGTCCCATGGGGGTGGCCTAGCCTTGTCAGTAGTCCCCTCCAAGGCCCAGTGCCCCAGGTTCCAGAAGTCTGTGGTTACCCATCCACCATTTGCTATATTGCCATAGCTGTAGACCTTTCTTCTGCAGCACTGGTGGGTGGGTTTGAACTGCCAACCTTTCAGTTAGTCGGTGAATGCAAATCATTTGTGCCACCCTAGGGCCTCTGTAAAGATTAAAGCCAAAAAAAAAAAAAAAACCCTAAGGAGAGTATTACTCTGCAACATGGGGTCACCGCCATGAGTCACAATCAACTTGAAGACAATGGATTTTTGAGGGTTTTTTGTTTGCTTTTGGTGTGAGATAGGCATGCAAATAGTGTTCTCTCAGAACCTCTCCACAAGACATTTCTTTGAAGGGTCGGTTTTGGTTCCAGTTTAGCCTCTTCCACATTCATTAAGGGTTGCCAAGTAAAACATAGGATGCCCAATATTTTTATTTGCTAAATCTGGCAGCCCTACCTGCACTTCACCTCCCATCCCACAGCATGCACCACACAGCCTCTTGTGGTTGGGGGCTCTGCCTGCAAGGCAGCCCTCTTACGAGGGGTGTGGTAAGATGGTTCAAGCCCAGCACCTTCCACAGTGTCTAATCAACCCACCAAAAAACCAAACCCATTGCTGTCAGTTGATTCCGACTCATAGTAACCCTACAGGACAGAGTAGAACTGCCGCATAGGGTTTCCTATTCAGTAATCTTTATGGGAGCAGATCTCCAGGTCTTTTCTCCATGGAGCTGCTGGTGGGTTTGAATTGAGTGCTTTAACCATTGTGCCACCAGGACTTCCAACCAACCCATCAAAAAAAAAAAAAAAAGAAAGAAAGAAAACCAAACCCATTGCCGTCAAGTCTATTCCAACTCATAGCGACCCTATGGGACAGAGTAGAACTGCCCCACAGGGTTTCCAAGGAACAGCTGGTAGATTAGAATCGCCCACCATTTTGTTAGCAGCCAAGCTCCAAATGACTGTGCAACAGGGCTACAATCAACTCACCAAAAAAAAGAAAGAAAACCAAACCCATTGCCGTCAAGTCTATTCCAACTCATAGCGACCCTATAAGACAGAGTAGAACTACCCCCATAGGGTTTCAAAGTGCCAGCCTTTTGGTTAGCAGCCAAGCTCTTAACCAGTGCACCACCAGGGCTCCAGTCAACCCATAGGGACCTATATATCCTTGCCACATGGAACACAGGCTGTTTCCTTTGATCCCTTCTCTCAGCTCTGCCCTCCCTTGGCCGCCATCTTTCTCCTCTTATATCCTCTTACCCAGACGGGCATCCAATGTAAGAATGGAAGCCTGGCTTTCCTTCTTGCTGGAATTTCAATCTCTATTAATGATTCTTTTGGAGACTTCTCTCTCACTGGGCTTTTTTTAGAGGGTAAAGGAGAAGCAGGACACAGAACACCTCAGATTCTGTAGGAGGGCCAAAGTTTACCCCCGGTCCCTTGTTCCTCTCCTTATATAGACTTGGGAGATGGGAGAGGAAGAGGGTTGATCCTTGAGGACTGTTCTGCCCTGGGGAAACATCTGGCTGCAGCTGGGGGCAGTAACTTTTATAATATGGGCACGCTTAGCACTCTTTTTGCCTCCAGCCAGTTGGGGACCACAGAGAAAGTCCCACTTAACATTCTCCTGCATTATTTATATAGAACAGTGCTGCGGACTACTATTTTGAAGGAAATATTCATCAATCTCTGCAGAAAATCACTGAAAACCAGCTAGTACAACCTGCTGTTCTCCAGCAAAAGGGAGGAAAAGGTATGTTGATCTATTACTCCCTGTATAGGCAAAAGTACTAGATCTTCCTCAAAGCAGCTTTAAGGAGATTTCATATCTGAGTTTGGAATTGTATTAGCAAAACATTATCACACTTGAGGATAATTTAACTCTGGCTGACTGAGTCACTTTAAGCCACTGTAAGCCATTCACCTTCAGTGAAACTTTCTATTGCTTCCCAGAGATTTTAGGAAGCTGCAAAGTATCATTTAGTTCAAATAAACCTGTATTCAAGAATACCATGTCTATATTACAGGTTTAAATGGGAAACTTTTCCATTTCACAATATTTTTCTGATTATGGGGCCCTAAGATAGAAATCCTTTTTTTTTTTTTGCAAAAAAAAAAAAAATTTGATATTTCATAAATGTGAAATCATGACTTTATAAATTTAAGATGATGGTCTCATCTATCAGACTGGCAAAAACATTAAAGCTCAGTCATATCCTCTGTTGGTTAAGATGTGGGCTATACACACTCTCATGCACTATTGGAGGGAGTATAAATTGGTACAAATGTCAATTTGGCATTATCTGTCAATATTTTCAATGTTCATTCCTTTTGATTCTTAGACACTGTATAATCCACTGGGCTCTGGATTAATTGTTTAAGCTGGACTAATTACTTAATCCTTCTACCACAGTTTTCTCATTCAAACAACAAATAATAGTTGCATCTACATTGTAAGATAGCTGTAAAGACTAGATGAGAAAGTACACGTAAAATGTCAAGTTCATAGCCTGGCACTCTGGATAATTTCTCAAAATGCCATTAAGATGTGTGTGTGTGAATGTGTGTGTGTATGTATGTATATGTGTGTATATATGTGTATGTATTAGGATGTTCATTGCAATGTTGTGATTGTAAAAAACTGGAACTCACCATATCCATTAGTGTATAAGGTATAAGATGTATCCAAGATACATCCCAATTTTTCAAGGCAATTTTTAAAGTGATACTTTGTATTGTAAAATGATAGTTATTTAAAAGTATTTGACATGAACAGTTTTAGGGGTAACTTTTTGTGCCTACATAAAACAGTACAGTGTATTCTAGAATCAGAAAATTCTAAATATGCAATAATATTTTAACCTAACCATGAAAAATGTATAAAATCACAGAGATAAAATATAGTGTATCTCTGTACATTGATACTGAATACTGAACTATGGTAGTAATATAAGGGGAATAACACTTTCACCTCTGTCCAGCTGTTTATCTGTTTTTCTTAAAAGACACAAACTCCAGGGTGTGAAGTCTATATCTTTCCACTGATGTCTTTTGTGTGTGTGGCCTCACGCCATGAGGGGACACATCAACCAGCATTTTATGTTTTTAGATCTTAGCTTTCCACCTGAACAGGAATGCATTTGAAACAGGACAAAATTTCAAAATATTTTGGGCATTCATTATTGGGAGATAAATGTTGTTGTTAGGTGCCGTCGAGTAGACTCCAACTCATGGCGACCATATGTACAACAGAATGAAACACTGCCTGGTTCTGCGCCATCCTCACAATCGTTGCTATGTTTGAGCCTATTGTTGTAGTCACTGTGTTAATCCATCTCCTCAAGGGTCTTCTCTTTTTTGATGACCTTCTATCTTACCAAGCATGATGTCCTTCTCCAGGGATTGGTCCCTCCTGATAACATATCCAAAGTACATGAGACGAAGTCTTACCATCCTTGCTTCCAAGGAGCGCTTTGGCTGTATTTCTTCCAAAACAGACTTGTTCGTTCTTCTAGCAGTTCATGGTATATTCAGTATACCATGGGCATGTTGTTTTTGTTGTTAGGTGCCATCAAGTCAGTTCCTACTCATAGCGACCCTATGTACAACAAAACGAAACACTGCCTGGTCCTGCACCATCCTCATGATCATTGCTATGCTTGAGCCCATTGTTGCAGCCACTGTGTCAATCCATCTCGTTGCAGGTCTTTCCCTTTTTCTCTGACCCTCTACTTTACCAAGCATGATGTCTTTCTCCAGGGACTGACCTCTCCTGATAACATGTCCAAAGTATGTGAGACGAAGTCTCACCACTGTTGCTTCTAAAGAGCATTTGGGCTGTACTTCTTCCAAGACAGATTTGTTCGTTAGGGGTTACGAGTTACAACACATATTTTTGGGGAACATAACAGTACGTAGAGAATAAATGAAAGTGTATCTTTCCACTTCTTCCCATTCTAGTCCCCAGAAGCAACCATTGTCAACAGTTTGGTATTCTACCTCTGTCTAATCTCAAGGTCCCTTGGTGGCACAATTTGTGCTCAACTGCTAAATTAAAGGTTGGCAGTTCTTACCCACACAGCGGTACCACAGGTGAAGAGGCCTGGTAATCTGCTTTTGTTAAGATTACAGCCAAGAAAACCCTATGCAGCATTTCTACTCTGTAACACGTGATCGCCCTTGAGTTGCAATTGACTGGATGGCAAGTAAGAACATGTCTAATCTCTATATTGCTCTAATTTATTTAGCATATGTTATTTACTTTAAAAAGTGCATGATCCCATTTTTGTAATATTTAAAGGATAAACATACGTTTGTATATGCAAAAATAAGAAATATTTTCTAGAAATATGTAGGATAGACTGGGACTTTTACCTTATGCTTCCATTTGAATGTCTTAATATGAGTATATAATACTTTTATTTTTTAAAAAACATAAAAATTTAAGTGCTTTTTACAAATTAAAAACAAATTTGAAAAGATGATGATCCATTATGATTGACTTGATTGCCGGATGTGAGACAGAAGTGTTCTGTTTAAGGCTGTGACTTTAATTCATGTGTATTTTGGTAAGTCCCTTACATTTCTCAAGTCATAAACTCAAGATAATATAAGGCAAAAACCCTTTGAGGTTTTGGGATGAATGATGACTGATTCAAGCGTATTGCTCCCCGGAGACTGTTTAAAGCAGTAATTTGGGAATCCACTATCCTACTTTCTCAAAGGGAAAACGGAGTTTGGCTGTGGATTTTTTAGCTACTGACAGATTTGATGGAATGTAATGTTTACAGGCCAATTCGGAAGTCACAGAATGGGTTGTCTGTCTCTTAGGTTAAAGAAATCCAATCAACAAACCAAACAAAAACCACCACAGTGAATCGTCCGAGTTTCCTGTCAAGTTATTTTGAAATATAAAGGGCTGTGCTCCTAAAAAGATAAAAGCTCTGAAAGAATAATTTCATTTCATGGCAATGAAAAATATCACAATGCCTATTTTCAATGCTCGTAAAAATAATGTGAAAATGGCATGAAAATCTTTTTGGCATTTTCCACTCCAATTTTTTTCTATTTTTTGTTTTTCAAGTAATTATGCAGTCACAGAGTTACCTTTTTTTTTTAACCTAAGTCATTATTAATCCCATTAATATTACCTTATATTTGCATGCAGTTTTGCATCTACAAAATGCATTCACATTCTTTACCTCATTTGACTTGACTCGTTAGAATAAAGCCCCTTGCTTTCTGGAAATAGCTTTTGAAGCTTCTCTTTAAAACCACAAAAATTTGAAGTTCAATTTGCTTAGTTTTGTGGTTTTGAAGGAAACGTAACATTTGAACCATAAACCTGGTAGTTAAGATTTAACTGTGAAGAAAGACCACATGGCAAATGGGAGCCTCAGGTAAAGAGGGCCTGCTTCCGATGGGAAAAAAACAAACAAAATCTCTTGCTGTGGAGTTGATTCCAACTCACGGTGACCTAATGTGTCAGAGTAGAACTGTGCTCCATATGGTTTTCAGTGACTGATTTTTCAGAAGTAGATCATCAGGCCTTTCTTCCAAGGTGTCTCTGGGTGGATTCGAACCTCCAACATTTCCAACCTATTGGTTAGTAGCTAAGAGGATTAGCTGTTTGTACCACCCAGGGACTCCTTTCCAATAAAGGACAGTACAAAATTTTTGACATCTTCCCCAAGGTCCAGTTGAAACTTCATTTGGCCAAGTAGATTCTTGACCTTTAAGTCCCAGAAAATGATGCCATAAATACATTCCTAAGAGGGTGAATAGGAGGGAAAACTAGTCCTAATGCAGCTTGTAATTCTGTAGTCACTCAACAAACCCTGAGGATGTTCTCTGTTCAACCACGATGGAGTTTGACATTGCTTTCCTCCATTTTAGGCAGGAAGAAGCTCCGACTGTTTGAATACCTTCATGAATCCCTGTGTAACCCCGAGATGTCATCTTGTATTCAGTGGGTAGATAAAACCAAAGGCATCTTTCAGTTTGTATCAAAAAACAAAGAAAGACTAGCAGAACTTTGGGGAAAAAGAAAAGGCAACCGGAAGACCATGACTTACCAGAAAATGGCCAGAGCACTGAGGAATTATGGAAGAACTGGAGAAATCACCAAAATCCGGAGAAAGCTAACTTACCAGTTCAGTGAGGCCATTCTCCAAAGACTTTCTCCATCTTATTTCTTGGGGAAAGAGATCTTCTACTCACAGTACATCCAACCTGATCAAGAATATCATAGTTTAAATAACTGGAATGCAAGTTATAATCCTACGTATGCCAACTACCATGAGCTAAGTCACCCTGATTACTAAATATACCTTCATGTTTAATGGTTTCCTGGCATCAGAAACCTCTACTAGCTTCAGGATTTTTCTCTTAAAGCAAATACTGAAGAGAAAAAAAGAAATCAGTTAACTTGTTGCCATCTTTTCTAAAATAGCACACAATCTATACTAACTTTGGTGGAAAATTCTGCCATTGAACAACTTTAAAACTTCCATCTGGAAGTACAGACTAACCGTCCTTGCTATGACTACTCTATATGCAACTACTTTCTTCTAGATTAACAATGCCAATAGAGATGATTTGATTTATAGATTGATTTAAACTTTCTTCTGTTGTTCACTCAGGTGAAAAATTTCTCCAACATGTATCTGATAGCTTTAATAACAAAACAAAAAATGATTGCATATTACATACACGTTTTCATCATTCAAGATACAGTTTTCATGCCACATATGTTCATGGCTTTAAAAACTTCCACGGAGGATACTGGCGACGGTTGCACATGAACATAATCAGTGTCACTTAATTGCATATGTAAAAAATGTTGAATTGGCAAATGTTTTGCTATATATTTTTTTTACTATTAAGAATATAATATAATTAAGGCAATCAAAAAAATAATAAAAACTTCTGTGGCTATCCTGAAGTGTATTTTCTCTGCACTTTCACTCAAGTCTGTAGCTCTGTGGGGCTAAAGAAGTGATAGTCTAAGGAAAATGCTAACTTCCTTAATGATAAAACTCCAAAGTTTACGTCTTTGTGAAACCATCTTTGCGTTTCACTCCTCCCTTGAGTATGTCCAGCGCTAACGTTTCTGCTATTTACCACAAGGAGGTGCTGTTGCCCCGTTTTCTTTCCGGCTCAATCTTGGAACAAGGTTTCCTGCTCCCTTAACCTACTCTGGCTGGAACAGTTGAAACCAAAAACCAAACCTGATGCCGATTCCAACTCATGGCGACCTCATGCGTAACCGTGAAACACTTAGGAGGTGGAGAGAAGACATTGATAAAGGCTCCCACCGCCCCGGTTGCCATCAAGTTGACTCTGACTCAAGGCAACCCCACATGTGTCAGTAGGACTGTGCTCCATATAGTGTTCAGTGGCTGATTTTTCAGAAGTGGATCTCCAAATGTTTCTTCCAAGGATCCTCTGGGTGGACTCAAACCTCCAACCTTTCAGTTAGCAGCCGAGTGCATTAGCCATTTGCACCATCCAGGGACTCCTTGGAAAACACTTGTTAGGCGCCGTTGAGTCGGTTTTGGATTGGTGGGTTTGAATAGCCAAACTTTTGGTTAGCAGCGGAGCATGTAACCATTGTGCCACCGGGCTCTTTGAAAAAGACAAGTCTAGCAAATAATAAATCCAAAGAGGAACGAGGATTTATGCAGTCTGGCTTGAAAGTTAAGGGCTTACTCTCCACATTCCACCAGGGACCCTGGGAAGGAAACCTTGTTTCTGCTTGGGAGCAGGGGGGCTTTCTAGACTACATGAGCTCTCTTCAGTTCAGGCCAAGATAGAGGTTGAGCCACCTCAGTTCCCTGGGGCCACCAGCATCTTCAGCCTCCCTTTTTTGTGTCCTGCTGACGCCCTTCCCCAGAGACCCTTTAAAAAAACACATGGTGGTAGACTCTGACTAAATAGAGGGTAACTTGATATTGGCCATCTCCACATGTAGTCTAGTTTTCAATCCACACTAATCACAAAGCAGGAGTCAGCATTTATACCCATCCGCCACAAAGAAAATATTCTTTATAAAGCATTAATGAGTAACAAATTTTACCAAAGATCTCAATGAAAATTGTGAAGAGAGTTTACCACACAGATCATTCAGCCAACAACTTAAAGTTTCATCAACATTTTAGTTCTCCCCATAGTCCCTCCTACACCCAATGCCAACTTGAGGCGGGGGGTCCTCTTGATGATTACCCCGAGAGCCCTCAGTCAGCTCCAACTCTCTTTCCTACTGTTATACAGAGTTGCTTCTTCTCAGGCAGAAACCTGGACTTTGCTTTCTACGTAAAGTGGGCCGACCAAAGCCCATTTTCACAAGGAGATCCTTCTTTCTAAAGAAATGCTCATACCAGCTTTTCTATATATTAAGAGAAATGATATTTCAAAGGGGTCACTGTTCCCTAACACCAGCCAAGGAGGGGAAGAGAGACATTTTAGCCTTTTTTCATGGCTCCTTTTCCCTGCTATATGGTATCTTACCTTCCATGTTGTCGCTTTCATCCAGTGGAAGAGCTCAGTTAAACTCTTCTCCAGCAGTGGGATTTCTGAGAAGCCGATTTCATCCAGTTATGTGTGTCCCAAGGGCAGTTTTGGTCTCTTGGCCCAGGTATTAAGCATTAAACCTTTCCTTCTCGGTACTTCCTGCCAGCACTTCCTCTAAATCACAGGATCCTTCTCTGGACCCTGGTTCATCCTTTTTTTTTTCCTTTCAGTTTTTCCTCTTCATAAGCCAGTTGTCATCAAGTTGATTCTGACTGTGGTGACCCCATGTGTGTCAGAGTAGAACTGTGCTCCATAGGGTTTTCAATGGCTGATTTTTCAGAAGTAGATCACCAGGACTTTCTTTCGAGGTGCCTCTGGGTGGACTTGAATCTCCAACCTTTTGGTTAGTAGCTGAGTGCGTTAACCATTTGTACCACCCAGGGACTCCTCCTCTTCATAAGGCATAAATGCCTAGAATATTTTTCTTTTCCTCATCCCAGCCATTCTATGCAGGAAATATTCTATGGGGCAGCCCTGCTCAAAGGCACCTCTTTTTACCAAATTCAGGAAAAGTCAAATTCATCAAGTAGAAGGCAAAATTAACTATAATAGACAAAAAAACTGAAAACCAGCTTAAATACATTTCCTTCCCTCCTTCCACTACCCCTGTGTTGAGTGGAAAAGGAGCCCTGGTGGCACAATGGTTAAGTGCTTGGCTGCTAACTGAAAGGTCAGTGGTTCAAACCCTCCAGCTGCTCTGAGGGAAAAAGACACGGCAGTCTGCTTCCATAAAGATTTACAGACTTCGAAACGCTATGGGGGCAGTTCTGCTCTGTCTTATAGGGTCACTGTGAGTTGGAATCAACTTGCTGGCGATGGGTTATGGGGTGTTGAGTAGAATATGTCATGTTCTGGGTATCTAGTATTAAGTTAAACAGACTTGGCTTCTTATGCCATAAAGCTTCAATTCTATCAATATTTATCATACATTTATAAATTCTATTAATATTTAACAAGAATTTACTTAATAGTTTACTGATGAGTAATTTGTTGATAGTTGAGTAAATTATTTCACAGAAAAATAATTAATGGGTTGGAGTGGTGAGATTATGAGGGATTTTTTCCCCCATTCTCCCTTTTTCTTATGTTATTATATTGTCTTTATACAAATCTGTCTGGAAGAAGTACAGCCAGAATGCTCATTAGAAGTGAGGATGGGGAGATTTCATCTCATGTACTTTAGACATGTTATGTCTAAAACATATTCTTCCCTGGAGAAGGACATCATGCTTGGTAAAGTAAAGGGTCGGCAAAAGAGAGGAAGACCCTCAAGGAGATGGACAGACACAGTGGCTGCAACAATGGGCTCAAATCATGGTGAGGATGGCACAGGACCAGGCAGTGTTTCGTTCTGTTGTACATAGGGTCACTTTGAGTAAGAACCGATGGCACCTAACAAAAACAATAGTTTATGTGACATAACTGATAGGCAAAAAAGTGCTAACCTAAAAATCTCATGAGGGTAAATGAAAACCTCTTTTAAAGGACCTGGGATCAGTTTTTGGAAACAAAAAACTCCCATTACCTTTCAGATACTTCCTGACTTCGCTTTTAAATGTGACCTCTGGTGGCTTGTCCTGAAATGAGCAGGCATTTCCGTCAGCATCCTTCGCTTGAAAAGAAAGAACTTGGCTCCGTTCCTTTACAGCCCCATTTTTTTTTTTTAAAGTGACTCTGCATAAAATGGTGGTATTTCCCAAAGCAAAAATCAGCACAAATTTGAAGTTTAGCATTGCAATAAATGCTGCACGTCTATAAAGTAGCCTTATCTTTGCATATAAAAAAAGATAAAAGAGAAGAGGACCCTTTCAATGCATGGTGTTTCTAGAATTCCTGTAGTTCCATGCTCATCTGCATCCTACCGCATCAGGCATGAACATTTGCTTTCCTTGTGGTTGGGTGCCATGTCCTTCCTTTTCGCTAAGATCAGGTTGGTTCTTCTTGTCTTCTCTGTTGCCTTCTCTCACCATTCCCCTCTCCATTTTGGGTCCTCTCATCTTCTGCCAGAACCAACACAGATGAGCTATAAGAGGTGTGAAGCTGGCCCACAATGAAGAAGGCAAACTGGTGAGTTCATTTTCCAGACATTTGCTTACTGATTACAGTGGCTCACAATTATTGGACACTGTTACGTGCAGGGCATTTTGCTAAGTACTTTGCACTTTATCCTCACAACAATCCTATAAAGTATGTGCTGTTTTTAATCTTCATTTTATAGGTAAGCAAACCGAGACACAGTGAGGTAAAATAATCTGCCCATGGTCATTCAGGTGAGGTAAATACACGTATATCAATTAGCTGGATCAATTCAAAACCCAAAGACCATTCATTAACTTAGTAGAAACACTCTACATCTCCTGTAGCTTATAATGATAAAAATAAACTAAGAATGTCTAGAGGAATATGCTATTTCATATAAACAATTTCCTCTGATTTTCCAATATTCAAGTCCCTAATCTTAGGTATTCAGAGATACATCTAGTTTGAAGTTATTCTAAGACTTCTGCTGGTTGGCATGTGGTGGACAACAGCATTGTTTAGATTCAGCTTCTGGGTTTCTTTGTTTTTTTTTTAGTTGTAACATACACATATACAGTAAGGTGGGTCAAATGCACTAATCTAAACTGTATGGCTTGATGTATACACACATATAACCACCATCTGGATCAAGATACAGAGCATTCTACCCACCACCACCATGACCTGTTGTGACCCTACTGTACAGAGCAGAACTGTCCCATAGGGTTTCCAA